AGCCTGGAAAAGCGCAGGCTCAGGGGTGATCTGATGGCCACCTACAAGCTTATCAGGGGTGACCACCAGTATCTGGGGGAACGTTTGCTCACCAGAGTGCTCCAAGGGATGACGAGGTCGAACGGTCATAAACTGCTACAAGACCGTTTCAGGCTGAACATAAGGAAGAATTTCTTTACTGTCCGAGCCTCCAAGGTCTGGAACAGCCTGCCATCAGAGGTGGTTCAAGCACCTTCATTGAACACCTTCAAGAGCAAATTGGATGCTTATCTTGCTGGGATCCTATCACCCCAGCTGACTTGCTGCCCTTTGGGCGGGGGACTGGACTCGATGATCTTCTGAGGTCCCTTCCAGCCCTAATGTCTATGAAATCTATGAAACTATGGACTGAAAACTTACAAGTATAGCTGTCCTACAGCTCTCCGGTTTCAGAAGATTGTTGTATTTTCTGAATTGGTGTAGTGTATGCAGTCTGTAGGGACTGGTTGTTTTCTAGTGCGTGTCAAGTATAAGTCTGTTGACTTCAGTGGAATTACTGCCGATTTTATACATGTGAGTTGAGATTCAGACCCACAAAATACTGCAGCATTTTGTCTTAAGGATATTTTGTTTGTTTCCTGAATTGTTGGTTATAGAATTCAGATTGGGCATGATTTGTTTGGGGTTTGGTTTTGGTTTTGTTTTATTTTCAAAATTAATTGTGGATTACGTTTCTGAGCAATTGTATTATTTTTAACAACCACAAACTTTGTTAAATTGATAAAGTTACTAAAATTTAGTAATCTAACACAGCAGTCACTATTTAAAAAGTCAGCTCTCTAAAATGACTTTTTAGCAGACCTTATTTTGGAGTTCCATGTTTATTATGTCTCAGTAATTACTTGTCTAATTTGCTTTGTTTACAAGTGAAGAGCATTTTTTCCCAATTACCATCTATAGACACTTAGTTTAGGGAAGACTATGAGGGTTCTTTTATTCTTACCAGTAATAAGCTGGAATTAAGTATAGAATTTGTCTGCCAGGTATTTTCAATAGGTGAGGATGTGCTAGAAGGGCAGTCTTTATGTGACTGTCTAATTCCAGAATGGGTTTGTTGTAGTGGCCATTGAGGGTGGAAGTGGGGGTGCGGTTAGAGGGCCACACACATCATGTTACTTATAAATGGAGTATATTTTCATTGCAAATAATTGGCAAATAACCATAGAATACTGCAGTTATATTTTTACTGGACCCCCTTTCAGGCTAAGTGCAGACATTAGTGGGGGTCGAGGGAGGTTAAATAGTATTAAAAGTGGCCACCCAATCTAAGTTAGTTCATCTGAGTGTGGACATTTCACTTAGACCTGGTCTCAGTGATTGGAAATCAATCTAAACCCATAACAGTACAGAAATTCCATGCACATAGACTAGTCTAAAAATGGCAAAACCTGGTCGAAGATGGACCTGGCTTGATGTACACTCAAACTTAATCTTTCTAGGTTAGACCGGTTCACTGAACTTCAGTACAGTTACCTGTGCCACCCAGGGCTGGGAAAGCTCAGCCGTTGACCTCAGTTCCAGGGCTGGACTTCTCCTACCCACCCCTCCCACCCAGCACTTGGCTATTTTTAGCCCCATAGCCCCTCGTCCATCCCCCTCCACCACAGAGCAGACCAGCCCCACCTTGAATCTCCATCCTGCAGGCTGCTCCAGGTGTTATTTTATCAGTGTTTGCCACTGCTGGGAGCCAAGGAAGTAAGTCCTGGGTGGGGGGCAGGAGGAGGGATGGGGATGTAGGTTTACTGGGGGGAGACGGGGCTAAAAATAGCCCCTAGTCTCCCCCAGCCCCACTACGGACTCTGCAAACCCTGCTGATCCTGCCAAAGCCTCCGGAACCCTAGCAACCCCCTGCGGATCGCACCTGCTCCCCCCAATCCCTCCTGTGGATCATGCCCCCTCCCTCATCTCCTTGGTTTGCACCTGGACCCCATTTCCCTAATCCCCTGTGGATTCTGCTTACCCCTCATCCCCATCCCCCCATGGACCCCTGATTTCTCCTCCAACTCCCCCCAGTCCTCCCCATCTTGACTTACCTTACATCAGGTGGCCATTTTGAAGGCAATTTAACCTCCCTCTAACCCCCACCCCCTTTCCTCTCCACTGCCCCCCCAAATGTCTGTACATAGCCTCAGAAGAGAATAATTTGACAGGATGTCAGAGTCTGGAGATGTATTTTTTCCAATGACTGATTTTGTCCTCAGAAAAACCGTGATGCTTGCTTTGCCCAGTGGAAGCAGCAAGCTGGTCCAGCACATCATGCAGAACGAGCATCACGGCCCTAGAGTGCCGTGGCTTCTACTGCCACCCATACTGACTCACTGCTCTTGCTGGGCAGAATGAGTGCCATAGCCCTGGAGTGCCTGACAGCCTTGGTACTTCCCATGTGGTCCTCCCCGACAGCCAGCAACCCCTGCTAGCCACAGGAGCCCCAGCCCCTGTGCGCATTGAGTCCTGGCATCACCTTGGGATTCTTGAACCAGCTTTTATTCCTCAGACTGAAAATGTCTCAGATTTAGGGGGCTCCTAATCCTGCCCCTAGATCCTATTCTTGCCCCTGCTTACCAAGCCTCTAGTGGCAAATCACAGGTATGCAGGTGAAGGACAGTCGGAGATGGTTTTTTGCCTTAAGGTGTGATTGTTGCACTAAGCCGAACAACACTAAGCTGATTTACATTTGTGTGGCTTACAGTGTAAGGTGTAACAAAGCCCTTAGGCTGCCTATATACATGCTCAGAGGTGGAGTGGGGGGCATTTTAATTAGAGTGGTTCCCAGGCAGCTGCTCTAATTAAAACAGCTCACTATCATGTGTACTAAGCCACATTTCAAAATTGTCATAGGGGTGTTTTAACTAAAGCTCATTCAATGACATTTAGTTAAAGTGCACCCAGGGCCATTTTGAAATGGGGCCGGGGGGGGTGTTAATACATGCGATGGTGAGGCAACTCATTCCTGTTCTAATTAAACTACAAATGCATATGTCTATAGGCAGCCCTTGATGTTATCGTAATAGATTTGACCCTTCATTCTCTGCCTCTGGTTCAACTAAGTGAGGAATTTCCTGAGTTCAGGCTCTTAGAAGACATTATCTTGCCAGCCCCTACAGCAAAACATTGGTTGTCATAATTGTCTGACTTCATTTCCTTTCTGAACATAATTAATGCTTGTGGACAAAGAGATTGCATAGCTCTATGTTTCACCTAATCAGCTGATCTTTCATGTATCAGAGTGTTTTGTGCCACCCTTTTGCCTTCAGTTATTCAATCTCATTAATACATTTTATGAATTAGGTGGCCTCTCTGTATTGTTCCTTAGGACTTGGAGCCAGCTACTTCTTTATCAAAGAACTTTGTTTCTAGACCCTTTCGAAGTTTGTATCAGCTGTGCTGACTAAGTACACTGGGATTACAAGCTCTGCTGCCCCCCTAAATCAAATCACACATGCCCAAAGTCCAAGATAAGTACAATTCAGTCATGCGGCCCAGATAGGTTTTTTGAATGTAAAAATGTTATAGTTTAAAGTCTGTCATCTTTTGGCTGTATCACAAGGTCATTGCCAAGGAAGAAGCCAATATTCATAATTGCACTCTGCACTCACTTTTATTTGTGGAGTATCCTATTATACACTGCTTCAGAATTGTGTTTATGTATAAGCTATTTAAGCTTATGTAAGCTTATAAACACAGAATATTTGGAGTGAGCTTTTTCATTTTTCTGTCCCTCAGAGATCTGACGTCTCCAGGAGGTAGCCTGTGTTATGCTGGGGGTCTCTGACAAGGGAGGATTGCACACATCTGTAATAAAAGAGAGCAGAGTCCACCAGACATTGGGTTGTGGTTGCAGTAGCAGCACAGCTGCACCTGATCTTCCAGTTATTTTCTTTTTTTGAGACTAGGAGGCAGGCAACGACAGGTTGTATTAACACCTATGCTGAGATTGCTTCCCTAGTGTATCTTACTCAGGTGTGCAGTGTAAGGTCACCCCTGCTGTTTCCGGATGTCTGTACATGTTTCTTTTACCCTGAAATTAAATTTCTGCAATGTCCTATACATGCTGTAATGTCATAAGGCCATTGAGCATCTTGAAGCCAGTCCAGAAAATGGCTCCATGCATATTAAGTGGTGGTTATGCCTGACGATATTGCAGCTGTGCTCAATCAGCAGTATGCATGGGCTTTTCCTTGGTCCTGGGTAGAATTTAGGGTGATGTTTTTGGCCTAGAAATAGTGAGTTTTGCCTACCACAAGTACTGCCTCTTTCCCCATATGATACTGCAAGAACATTGGCTAACACTCCATGTATTGAAAGAGGAGGAAGTGGCTTAACAGGCACTGTCTATGTGGAGACCTATACCTTGAAAGTTACTACTCCTCTTTAATCACAAAGAAACTGGGTTCCTTGGCACTTAGGGCATGTAGCAAAACTAATATATTTGTCTTAGTTTTTTACTGAACTGGTGGATTAAGGGGGGCTAGGGGGTGGTTTGGTAAGATGGATAATTATATTATGAGGCATTACATAGGTAATAGATTTTTAGAAAGATGTAAATGATTGTAGGAAGAACTGGAAATTATTTATCAGTGCCTTGTCCTTTATATTTATACAAGGACTTTAATCATGGATAGCCTAATCAAAAACAAATAAAAGTATATCACAACTCCAGTGTACACTTAATTTCCCTCAGTGGCTGGTTGCATTATCATTTGAGTATTTCATGTTGTAAATAGACTCCCTTGTTACAGTTTTCTGAGATTCTGTCTTATGTTATTATGTGGCATGCTTAATTCTAGATATCTAAGTTAAAACAAGACTGTCCAACTTCCAAGCAGCTGGAGGCCACACACTTGACAGGCAGCAGCAGTGGTGACTGCCTGCCCTGCAGACCACACCAGGGCAAGCCAACCCCTCAACCCTGCCTCCCCCTGGACACACTCCCCACAGATGCACCTTCCCACTGCCGCACTGTATCCGTGATCCTTTCCCAGTGCACAACATGGCAGCAGACCTCCGCTTGCCCCCGCCATACTGCGTGCCTGTGACCCATTCCCTCACCCTGCTGCTCTGTGCACCTGCAACCCCCCCCCCGCCCCCTGCACCTTGGACCCCAGGCTCACCCTCACCTCCCCATGCTGCTGTACTGCCCAGCACTCTGGAGTGGGGGCAGGGAGCAGTAGCTAGAGGAGGGAGGAGGAGCCCAGAGACTCCTCCTGTTGTTGCAGCCAGAGTGATGGGAGAGCAGTGACCAGGCAGGAGCTTGGTGGGAGAGGGTTGTAATTTAACCCCTTGCAGGCCATGGACTGCCAGTTGGACAGACCTGCGTTGGGTTAAAATACAGTATAAATCAGAAGCACATTTTGATTTCAGGCATGACTTTTTTTCTGGGATGTCTTCAGGTATTCAGGGAATGTTTGACCCTGTTCTCTCCATTCTTCTTACTTTCTTTTCAGGGTGATGAAATGAAGAAGATAGGTATTCAGCCTATACCCATGATGGACAGAGACAAGAAGGATGAAGTCCCTCAGGGCCAAGTATGAATTACCTGCCTGAACTGAAATGTTTCTTAATGTTTTGCAGAATGTACATATTTAATATTTTGGTAGAAGTTATGATATGTAATTTTTTAGTGAAATGTGATATTTTTATGACCGTTAGGACTTTTGTCATGCTGACAATCACACTTTGCATGAAAAGCATAGCACTTTCCTCCTCACGGACATGACTGGAAGGACAAGAGCACACTATTTCATGATTTCACATCTTTTATGTCACTGTTCTACTACTTGTAGTTAGGGCTGAATTTGTGAATGACTTATAAGAAGAATACCTCGTTGGTGAAATCACAAATCTGATTTGTACAAGAAATGTAGAGATCATCTTCGGATTAAATGTTGCTAGTGTAGTGCCTCTAGGTATTCTTGTATTCGGAATACTGTTATTTGGGATTTTTCTATCATTCTTTTATAGTCTTCCTCCTATTGATAATGCCCTAGAGTAATACAAAGTCTGCGAAGTTGCAACTTCTGAAAAATTGTAGTTTCGTGGTTAGATAATTGTTGCTTTGTATATTCTTATTTGAATAGGGAACATAAGCATTCTTTTCTTCCATATACCTGCTTTATTTTATAAGTAAATAATGAAGAAATTTTTAAAGAAAAATACCTCAAATTCTGGAAGTTGGAAGACCTATTTGCAATAGGAATGAATTGTTTAAAAGATAAATATCACTGACTTTTTTTTAAAGAAAAATATAAAATGAATGGATGGAGAGAGAGTGATAAATGTAATGTATCTGGAAAATTATCAAGCATTTAATTTCTGATGAAACTTCAACTCATAAATTAATTCATATGTCATTTGAAGACTGCCTTAAATATTTTTCCTTTAAAAAAGGAACAGGATAACAGCAATGGATTGAATTAGGGATAGTTGTCTAGTAGGTCAATAGAATGTCTTAAATTGGAACTTTATAGTTTATCTAAGAACCCAGTTTGTAGTTTCTTGTATGTGCTAGGTGCTTCAGAGTTGAAGATGCATCTCAATTTATTTCAGTAGGAGGGAAGGAACAGTACATTTAATCAAGTAAAGGACTAAGAATCGGGATACCTGGGCTCAAATCCTGATTTTAACTATTGACTCACTCTAAGACCTTTAACAAAATGCTCAACATTTCTGAGACTATCTGTAAAATGAGGTAAATTCTATAAATTCTGTTAATTCTATTCTATATCTGGACTTCCAAAAAAGCCTTTGGCAAGGTCCCCCATCAAAGGCTCTTAATGACGTTAGATAGTCATGGAAGGTCTACTCAAAGATTTGGAATTGGCTTAAGGATAGAAAACAAAGAGTAAGTATGAATGGTCAGTTTTGGGGATGGAAAGAAGTAAACAGCAGGGAACCTCATGGTTCTGTGATTTTAAATGATATGAAATGTTGGGCTGATGCATCTCTGTTAGAATTTTAAATACCTATAGATACTGGATTTGGAAATTCAAAACCTGGGTTACTGAATGAACTGTCCAGGGTATAGGAATAGATTTCAAAGGGCCTGTAATATGCATCTGTAAAAAAGCTTATGTCCCACTGTATCCTGAGCTAGCACAATTATCTGACTTGCTCATTAAACTTGGCTTTACACATACAAATATGAACAGCTAAAAAAAAGTCAAGGATCCAGCTATTTGCGTATCAAAACTAGCCAGCTACCTGATGCATTTTATATTTGTGTGTACATATCCCATGCATATACCCACACATATATAAGCTACTTGCTCATTTTAGCGGCCCTTTGAAAAATTTGATTTTAAGCATGTAAATATCACCGGGCATTATATTTACTGTAAAAGAGTATAGTATTTGAGGCAAAGTGGAAAATATAACATAATATGAAAAATGTTGCAAGAAGATTTTGTAATAGATTAATAATTTAGAAGACAACTGTAGATGGGGATTTCAATTTCCTATTAACATATTTATCACCCTTCTAATTTCATGACTGACAAAGAAACAGCAATGGCTTTATAAAATTCTTACATTTATTATGAGGTTGTTAACCAAAGAGAAAGCTGGAGCAATTTTCCTGGATTTTTATTTTTTTTTATTTTTCCTCATATTACGGTTGGTTTAGACATCTTGAGAGGTACACCATAGTAAAGTATATCTACTTTACCTAACATTTGTATAGAGTTTTTGATGGGGTGAAAGATCGTTCACCCCAGTATATTTCTGTTTAAAACTTGTTATTTTCTCTACAAATTCAGCTATAATTATTGCCAGTCTCTTTCTGCCGTGCTCTCTCTGTGTTCTGCCCATTACCATTTGTATTTCTAGTAGAAAAGTAGGTAAGGAAATTAGAGAAAAGAGACTCTCAAAATATCTATTTTTAGTTGCATTATTTCTCATGTATTACAGCAGTGTTCTGGCAAAGTGGTAAGATTTTACAGTGTTGCAGTTCTATAAAAATAGCCTTAGCTAATAATTTGGCATAGTTCCGTAAAAGCCAATGACAGTTAATGTCAGTGCTTTTAAGGTAAAACAAAAGGAACTCGGGAGCCTATATTGGTATAAAGATCTAAAATGTGGCTTTAAAACCTTAATCAACCAATAATGACATTTAGAAGTATGCTTTTGGGGACAGAAGAATCTGGAAATATTTTTTCTGTTTTAGTTCCCTTAGTATAACAATGTGCTATACCTCTCCCTTCCTCTCATTCAGATACTTTGCCCAGTCTGCATCCCTTGCAGAAACTACTCATTGCAGTTCCCTGACCAGTGACAGTCTCTGGTCTGAGAACTGGAATCCTTTGCTTTTTTTTTACCCCTTCCCTTAAGCATTGAATCCATGGTCACTGCAACAGAAGCCCTGTACTTGGGTTATGCTTCTTGGTCCATTGGCCAGCAAATAGCTAAGCACTGGGTGCAGGAAGAATCAAAGCTCTTGCTCAAGATGCCATTCACATTCCTCTGGATAGGATTTATTCACTTGTGCAAACGTACATTTTGAAGATCTATATAAAAGATTCATGATCACCAAAATATTGTAGCTAACTAGCAAGAACAGTCCACATGCTCCAGAGTATTGGAACGTTTCTCAGAAATCTAATTTTCAGTTACATGTGTAGCCTTATTCAGCTACAACTGAAACAAAGTGATTTGCTTTTAAAAAAAATTACTCTGGGCAAGTTAAAAAAACCAGTTTCAACACTAATTATGGCTTCACCATGATGCTCATTAAAGTCTGAAAAAGTGCAAAGAAACATTTTCTAAAGCACCTAAGTGTTTGAGGAGTTTTAGGTGTTTTCCAAAATGCCTTTGGAAAAGTGTCATTTCAAAAGTACCTTTGTCTGTGTTGTACTTCTGTTGCACTTAAACTAACTAACTGAGATTCCACTTGTTGTTTAGTGACAACAAGCTGGGATGCCAGCTCCAACATGGCATTAGAAAATGTTGAAGCAGAGTTGATTAATCTAGCCAGTCAAGCAATTAATTAATCTAATTAGAACACTCCAGCAGCCTCACCATCATGTGTTTTCAGCATTCCTCCATTTTTAAATGGCGGCATTAAAGCTCATCAAGCCAGCTTTAGTTAAAGTGCCCCACCACCATTTTGAAGTGCACAGTGATGAATACATGAGACACTGTGGGCATTTTAATTAGGGCTGAATTTGGCTCCTCCTCACTGCCTGTATTTGCGAAACTTCTGATTGTTGCTAACACTAAGTTCAGCTATGGCATTAGTAGCTACGGTAAGAGCCATAGTATAAATGAGCCATTGAAAAGGGAAGCATTCCAGAAATTCCTTGAAGACCCCTATGGACTTAATTATTACTACTGACTTTACACTGAGGGTACTTGAATACTACAGCGGTATACAGAAGTACAAATCCTCATGGTAAATACTAAGTAAATAATGCAGTAGACAAATTAGGGGCATATTTCCTATTAATTTTCAGTGTCATAATTTGGCTCCATTCAACATTTTTCCTGCTGTTTTTCACAGATTGGGTTCTATAATGCGGTAGCCATCCCATGTTACACCACTCTCACACAGATCTTCCCTCCTACTGGGCCACTACTACGAGCCTGCAGGTGAGTTGCAGCATCTGTTTTTGCACAGCCTACATCTTGACTGAGAGACTGCATACCCACTGTGCATATGCCTGGAAATAAAGGCACCAAATTTCAAATATTGAATGCAGACAAACATAAATATTCTTCTCGTGCAAATGTTTTCATCTCTCCAGAGTAACTGGTAGCTAGGGTAAGCTAACAAAGGTCCACAGAGGCAGCTCATTAAAATGTGTTTGAGGAGAAAAGTACCTAGAGGTAAACAGGTTCAGTGGTTACATGTCCCTAGTTAACGACTTTCATCTAGCCCAGTGCAACTCGGGTTCACTCTGGCTACTTCCGCTTTACTCTCACAGTGCTGGCTGGAAAACAAGAATTCTGCTTCTCAAAATATGTTGAAGTTTTGGCATTTGATTTTTGTTCTGCGATAGGAGAAAGCAAGACCTTTCAAAACCTTCTATGTCAAAGCAGGAAGAAAAAAGAATTACCCAAAAATAGTCAATAATATGGTAATAAGTGTTCTCATTTGGGATGCAGAAGATACAGGTTCAACTCCCTGTTTCAAGTTGGGCAGAATTTGTTTCTGTGTCTTCTCCAGCAAAAACAAGTTCCTTGTTGGGTGTTCTGGGGTGGTTATGTTTTTTGTGCGTTTGCTTCCTCTCTCATTTTGACCAGAAAGTCCATCCTGGACCCAAAAGGACTTTCCCACCAAAAGTCTCATTGAAACCAATACAGTTCCACACAAGATTTTGGATCCAGCAAATTAGTGCTCTCCACCAACAAAAAAGAAAAACATTTTGTTAAAATATTCCAACCAGATATATTCACGACACTAAGGAATTAATGTAGTTTTTTCCCTACACTTCTATTGTCACCTCATCTTTCTTGTATTCTTTTTCTGCCTGTTAGGTCCCTGAATCTAGCTAAACAGAAGTTTCTTCCTCTTGTATAGTAAGCCAGCTCATAAGCTGTCCTCATTTTCCAGGTCTTTGAACCACTAGGATTTTCTCTTCTGGTTACAAGAGCTCTATAAAGTGACAAAAAGAAATCCACTTTATTTAGATTCTTTGTGAGATTACACATTTTGCTACTACTGTGGACCTGGTTGTAATAGGGCTATCCCTGACACTCAACAGACTCACTTACTCACTAATGTGTTCTAGCATGCACTCGCTTACTCGCTTTCACTCCCTCTCGTGCTCTCTGCCTCCACAGAACTCTGGGTGCAGACAGAAGTGACAGTTTTTAACCTATTTGACAACCAAAGTGGTCTAAGTGCATGGCTACAGATTGCTTCAAAAATGGCTGATCAGGTGAACATCTGAACCCTTGTTGCATGAAGGGGTCAGATGAAGACATTCCAAAACACCATCATCTGTAACTTGTGCTTGCATTGCCTCCCGGCGCCCGAGCTGGGTTCAGCATGTTTTCAGTGCTGACTGGGGAACCCCTAAAATGAGCTCCCTCTTCTCCCTTTTCCCCCTTCCCATTCTGAAAACAGAGGCAGGCTGGGAGGAAGGAGGGGCCATTGCTCGGGGAAACAGACTGCAGCCAGCAGCTAGAACCCCCTTCCCCTGGAACCAAGAGTGAACTTCTGTTTGATCCTGGGGATTGTTAGATTGAGGCCACTTCCTGAAAAGCGTTCTCAGTTTAAGTGGGGAGCTGCACTTCTGTCTGCACCTTCTTATTCTCAGCCTTTCCAGGCTAATCTGTTCTCATTCTATTCCTTCCTACCTGCTTCTGGAACTGGCAAGCATAATGAGAAATCTGACCTCTCTTCATTCTTGCCTTTTATACATATCCATGTGAGATCATCAGTGACCCAGATGTAATTCTGGGACTCAGCCCTACTTCTGCCTGTTCCAGATGGTCCTATCTCCTTAAACATAGTTTTCATTATTGTGCTGAGTTTCTCTCAGTGGGACCTTATGTCACAATCCCTTTGGGACTGGAGGCTTCAGACTCATTTCCTAATGCCAGAAACAAAAGGCCAGACCTTTTGGAGAATTGCTCAGCAGGTTTGTTTAAATAAAAGAAAAAATAAAACATTGCGACTGGGCTGCCAGTTCAAATGGAGCTCAAGTCATGTGTCTCTGGAGCTGGCAGTCTGGCAACTTTATAGATTCAGTAAGACGACATACTTTCAGAATGTTATTACTAAAGTGATTGTCATTAAAAAATCAGCCATCTCAAGTGGTTGTCATGCTATATCTGCAATACGGCAGTACTTAAAGCCATGTGCAAGATCACACATCCAAGAGAGAAAGCATGCAAGTTATATTACCCAAATGGAGGACTGTACCCTGGAAAATAGTGATTCAGAAATTTATTTTGGGGTCTTGGCTAATAATTAGTTGAAAACAGACTCTCAATACAGTGCCATAGCCAAGAAAGTTGATGTGACCCTTGCAAGTAGAGGCAGAGAGAGGAATATCAAACATGAGTAGGGATGTGATATTATTTTCCGATATGGAATTAGTTAAACCATTACTAACATATGAATACTACTTTCTAGAGTCCACATTTAATAAAGGATGCTACAAACTGTAAACTTCAGAAAAGAGCTAAAAAAATGACCTGAGGTCCAGAAAACCTGCCATGTAATGAAAGACTAAAGAAACTTGGTGATCTAGTTATCCAAGAGTAGTAAGAGGTTAGTTGGTCATAGATTAGTCTTATAACTACCATATTTACCCAACCCAAGATTACTTTGAATTTTAGACAACTGCCCCCCCCCGCCCCCAATAATTTAGATTATTTACATAGAATATTCTAAATTTATTCTAATTAATTTTCTTGCATAGAATCTAACTACTGGAGGGTCATCTCAAATTTGTTCCTTCCATCACTGCAGCAGGGAAAGCAGTGAGTGGGGTGCAGTTGGCAGGGGCTGGGTTTGGGGTGCAAGCGAAATAAGAAATACTACTTACTGAGTCAGACCATAGGTCCATCTTGCCCCAGTATCTTGTGTCACACAGTGGCAGAGAGTGGATACTGAAAGAGAGAGCAAACAGGTATGACCAAGGTTTTCTCATGGCTCTTGTATTATGAGAGAGAGTAAGTAATAAATCTCTATTTACTTTCTCTTCATCATTTCATATTTTGTAAACCCTTACCTTGCCCCCTCCCCCACAAGCATCTCTCTTCTAAACTGAATAGGCCTAGCCTCGTCCAGTCTCTCCTCACATGGAAGCCGTTCCATACCAGTGATCATCCTTGTTGCCCTTCTGTGAACTTCCTTTAGTTCTTGAGGTGTGGGACCCAAATTGGGCACAGTATTCAAAGTGTGGATGTACTGTGTATTTATGAAGGGGCATAATGGTTCTTTCTGTTTTGTTTACAGATCTTTTTTTAATAATTCCTAACGTTTGCTTTTTGTGATAGCATAACTCCTGCCCCTTGTTCCTCCTGTGCCTTGCTCGCTCCACTTGCACCCTGCCAATGCCTGTACCCCTGAAGCTTGTCCTCCCCACCACTTGATCCCCCTGACAGCGCATATCTCCCTCCACACTGCTGCTGCTTACCCTTTGCAGCTGCTGTGGCTCGGGATCACAGAGCACATGGTGGCCCCAGCCCCGGTTAAGTGGCAACTCCAGCCCTGGCCACAGCCAGGCAGCCATGGTGGTTCAGGCCCTGGCTCTACCATGCAGCAGCAGCACTGGTAGTTCTGGCCCTAGCCCCAGCCCTGGCCAGGAAACACAGTGGTGGCTGCAGCTTTGGCCCCAGTCCAGGGCAGTTGGCAACTGCAGCTCCAGCTTTGGGCTTTGGCCTGGGTTAGGGCCAGAACTGGAGCTGCACCCACTGCCCTGCTCCAGGCCGGTACTGGAATCCAGGCAAGGCTTTTTCTGCAGTGTAGATCTACCCCTGCGTGTCTACTCATGGGGAATTAGTGGTGCCCTGCATCTCTGATCGTCAAGCATAGAACCTTGCAGAGTAAATGCAAACATCTTTTGAAGAATTTGTTTTCTCTGAACCAGTATGTATTGTGTGAATCAACAATAGTCAGGTGACTTTGTATCGACTATCTAGGTGTTGTCTGCCTCAGCAGTCATGCTTAATTTAAGATACACTAGTTTTATTGCTAAAAGCTACCTTGCCTTAATCACTGATTTGGGAATAGCCCTTGTTAACTACTCAGTCATCCAAGCACTGGTTAAGTCACACTCATTACTTCTAGGTCCCATACAGTCCCCACATTTAGACCGTGGTTATACTAAATTTCTAAACTCTATATGGAGCAAATTTTAGGGTTTCATCAAGATGGAACGGTCTCCTCACAAACTGCAGTCATCCATTGGAAGGAACCACCAATTCTGTGATCCTGAGCTTAGGCACTGCATGAGTGAAGCTCCAGCAGCAGCAGAGCTCCTAAATTGTAACTGGGGAAGCTGAACAGTAAACTTTGAGCTCTGTGCTCAGAATAGGAGGACACTGATAAGAGATTTCATAGCTCAGTAACATGGTCCTCTCTGACTGTCAAAATTATGTAGCTTGCCCTGCAGGTTTTGAGTTTCCCCAGGGCTCATCAGATAACTAGACCTGTGCCTCATTTGGCTCTAAAGTGGCAAATGACTTTCACATTACAATCTCATTTCCATTTGTTGCTGTTCCAGGTGCTAAATGAATTATTTTGATATCACTATTAAACTAATAATGTATATTAGTTTCTGGAATACAGCATTTAAGATGCTGTCTCCTTGAGTTCTTTGGAATGAAACGCATGCTGCAAATTAATACCAACAGAAATATTAACAGAGGTGTCTCTTGCAAATCAAGGGAAGCAGTTTTTCTGCTCTCTTCAGCACAGGTGGGTCCTCACCTGGCATACTGTGTCCAGTTTTGGACCTTACACTTTAAGAAAGATGTGAACAGATTGGAAAGAGTCTAACGGAGAAAATAATTAGAGACCTGCGACATGTAACTTAAGAGGAAAGGCTGAAAGAACTAGGATTGTTTAGTCTGGAGAAGAGAAGATTGAGTGGGGATTCAATGGCAGTCTTCAAGTACCTGATTGGTGATTACAAAGAGGATGGAGATAGACTTTTCTCTGTGACCACAGAGGACAGTTAGGGGAAGGAGCAATGGCCTCAAGCTGCAGCAGATGAAATTTAGGTTGGAACTTAGGAAGAATTTCCTGACTATAAGGGTGGTCAAGCACTGGAACAGGCTTCCAAGAGAAGTTGTGGAATCTCCATCCCTGGAAATTTTGAACAGCTGTTTAGATAGATGTTTGATTTGGGTGGTTTAGTCAAGGATGATCATCCTGCCTTGAGGAGGTGGCTGAATAGAATGATGCCATTTGGGTCCTTCCAGCCCTGCTTTCCTATAATCCTAAGAAATAGCAAGGACCTCATGTTAGTATCAAGTTTTTTACTTGGAGAGCCTGTAGACATTTATTCCAAACATCTATGAGCCAACACTTTGCTAGTGAGTGGACAAGCAAATGAATTATACCTTCTGCACCTTTAACAATGTGTAGTCAGTCCTGTCTCCAATGTAGAAGAAGGATGCTGAACCTCCAGCCTTCAGGCCAGATATGGTCCACAGAGCCATCTTTGGACTGTGAGGCTTCCCATGGGTTGGAAATTTGGCAGCAGGGAAGTGGTGGCAATTAATACAGCCACCCCTCCCTTGCTGCCAAATCCCAAACCCTGAGTCGTGTGCAGTGGGTCAAGCCCCCTTCACCTCTCCCTTTCCCCCTCCGCAGAGCCACGCTGAGGCTGCCTGCTATGGGGCTAGGTTGAGGCCAGGCTGGATGGGGTCATACTGTGACCACCCAGGTGTCAGATTGAGAACACAGAGTAGCTCCAGCCTACAGATTGATGGGGCACTGCCTATCTGGCCCGCTAGCCAAAAAAGTTGAGCACCACTGTTCTAGAAGTTGTTTTTTTCTAATGTTTTATTCCCCTTTTGCATTTTGATAACCTTTTGCCTACGATAAATTTAGTTTGTTACTGAGTTTAAAGAATTTTTTTTTTAATGTGTTCAGGTCAAAGACACAACTTACGTATTAGTGTGGAATCACTTTCACTAGTGAGTTCTGGACTGCATATCTGTTAGTCACACCAGAACGGTCACATCTGGGATAATATACCTATTTGAGGGATAAAAGGGGAAGCAGTGATTTGTCTAAATTCAAACAAAATTTTCTAACAGCTTTCTATCAGTTTGGCTTAAGCAAATGATGATTTGACCCCATTGGGAGGCTCCCTGAGATGTCTTCCTGTTTACAGATGGCAAGTGAATTGGGAGTAGTGGCTTCTATTGTATTATTCCTACAACCCTTGGTATCTTTCCAGATTTGTACCATATGCCTCTTCTTCCACTGTTGATTGGTTGTCTGGTACCTCCTATATTTGTCAGATATGATGAACTGGGTCCATAGAAAACATGGTTTTCTGATCCTGAAAAGGACTGTGGAACATACCTTCATTTTCCTGTGGCCAAGATAACACCCAAATTGTTTTATATCAGTTATATTCAGTTATATCCAATTTTCCTGCCAGCTTTCAGCTTCTCACCTCATCCGCCCATCACTTAATTTCTGCAGGACTAGAACTATATGGGCAGAGAATGAGGCAGCATTATGGAGAGGCTTAAAGTGGAGGGAGAAGATAGAGAGCTACAGGAGACCACAGCTTCCATCCTGGCACTCCTAGCAAGTGTGAAGCTCTGTTTTTTATGAGTTCTAGGTGACTCAAGCCATCCTTGCTAGGCTTCATTTGCTTCTCCCAAATGGTGTTACTACCTGCTCCCTGCACTCCCAACTTAGAACTAGGACATCTTGTTGATTTGGTTGCATTTTACCAAGTATTTCAGTGAAGCTTTGTCACATAAGCTATGAGAGCCTTGCTACACCACTTAGATCTGATATGATTGCATAAGGCCTCGATAAGCTTGTAATTCTCTTCATTTACTGCCCATATCTATGTGACAGCAAGAGTAACTAAATACTAGATTTGACAGAGTTAACAGAAATAGTTGGACTCTCTCTCTCTCTCTCTCTGTCTCTCTCTCTCGCATACCATTTAAAAACCAAATGGCAGATTTTAGCCATATGTAAACATCATGGGCCAGATCATCGACTATTGTAAATCAGCACTGCCCCATTTAGGCCACTGGAGCGATGCCAGTTTGCACCTGGTGGGAATCTGGCTCCATATTTTTTTCAGCTTCTGCTGTTTGACATTTTTATGACTTAAAAGAATAGGCCCATATGATATGGTAATGAATACCCTATGCTTCAAGGCAGGGTGGGGATTACAGACATAAACATAACTGTTGTTTGAACAGTCTTCTTTTTGAAGGAGATGGATTTATACAAAAACATAGGTGTCTGAAAGGTAACATGCGCTACTCTGGCAGCAGAATTGTATTGTTACACTGCCCTAAAGCAGAAATTTTTATAAGGAACTGTAGCTTGTTGTGGTTTCCAAAGAAGCAAGCTCCGTGGCAAAAAATTGAGAATTCTCTGGCAACTTCAAAAAAAGCCAAACTATGCTGTTGCATCAATCTATAGAGACCTAAGTGAGGCTTGGTAGAACTTGATTTTTTACTATTATTATTTTGAGAGCTAAATTGATCTTTATTTTTAAGCATTTATTTTGATTTTTATTAATTTAAATTTTCCAGATTGTGCAAAATTAGGGCAGACAGTTTGGTAATATAAAAAAACAAATATCCATAAATGGATAAATCATACCTTTATACAAGCAGAAAGTATCTATCCTCATCAATAAAGCAGTACATCCTGGAATTCAGAACAGCACCACAGAGCCCTGCGGGAGCTTGACACACACATGCACACGTGCATACACACACTATTGCAGGAGCTGGGGGCTGTGCCAGTAAGGCTGCACTGGGAAGCAGGGTTGGAGGGGCAAGGCAGGTAGCAGCCTAGGAGGCAAGTGCCTGCCCAGGTCCTAGCCTGAGTAGGGGCCAAACTCCCGTAGAGCCTGGCCTAGGCTGGGCCAGAAGGAGTTCAGCCCTTGCCCTTGCTGGGACCTGGACAATATGAGCTAGGTGCCAGTGGTGCTGGGCTCCTGGGCCCCCAGCTCCTGCAACACAACCTTACTTGCATGGCCCCCACCTCCTGCAGTGGCTGCTCTGTGTAAGTGTATGTGTGTGTGCGTACATGCAGCACACCCCCCCGCCCTGGATTTCCTTACCTCCATCCCATATTATTTTTTTATGTATCCTTTATTTAAATTTCAGTGATTACTGATGGAAATATTTTTCCATCTATCTTTGAGTGTCAGGTGAAATTGATGTTTATCAATGTTTGTCAATAAAAATTGAATCCTGCCAAGTCTAGATATGGGACAGGTCACATCTCTGAAGACCTATGTTTTCAGTTATTCACTGACTTCAGCAGGTGTTGGTCCATTGGTTCATATTTTTAAAGTTATCTGTGAGGGATGGGAATTTTTTTTTTTTATGGAAACAGCTTCTGTAGTCCAGGCCAGAAGCAAAGGATAAATTCTGTGGCAAATTTGGTAGCTTCATGGTCTTGCTGATAGCCAGTACACATGGCCAATATTCACGACCATACCTAGGTTGAAGGCACCTGAAAAAAAACAAGATGAAATAGTGCACTGTTGATACAAGATTCAGTATGGACCAGTGTTTACCTACTGTGTAACACTATTTCCGAAGGTGTAATACAGAAGGAAGTCTTACAAAATGACTCCATTTATTAATATTTTTTCCTTTCTTCCCCATCTCCAGGGAAAATCTCAGTCAATGGGAGAAAGTGACACGAGGAGAGGAAGCTTTTATATGGATTCCTTCCCAGTCACTTGCCCCTGAAACCTCGGATTCACTTCCTGTGAAGATTGATGACTAAACATCAGTGACCGAGTGCTTTCACCCTAAAAGCATCTCTTTATTTGTTGGGGTTTTTTTATTTGAAGGAAAAAAAAACCTGCAGATGCTAACTAGGAAGCAAACCTGCCTAAGAGGTAATACCCAAGGAGTTACCTCAGCTAGGTGACCGTATGCCAGTCTCCTGACTTACAGCAGTGGTGACACATTATGAACAGAGAAGATTAACGACTCACTTGTTCTGGAATCGGCTAGCAGAGCAAGATTATGACTTGTGAATATAAGAGACTGGCCTTTTTTAATGGGCTATGTTCCTGAGGCCTTAATTTAAAACTAAAGGGGGGGGAATCTTAGGGGGTACTTTTAAAATGTATCTTTCTAGTAAGGGTTTCAATGGTACTTTTATTATACTGTACTGTGGCTGGCTTTAACACCAGTGTCACTTGGGAGTTCTTGGCTATACATAGAACATTTTACACATTGCTGTTGTGAATGTTTATGTGTGATCTACTTGTAATCAGTTTGAACTCTAGCCAAAAACCTTGGGACTGTAACTATTATTGAGGATACAGTCTTTTTTTTTTTTTTTTTGCTGTAGAAAAAAAGAAAATCCAGGATAAAGGCTCCAAATATTTTCTTATTAGGCATCACAGAGCAATGGTTTTATCACATGCAAGTTTAATATTAAAAGAACTAACTATATGTTATGGTTCTTTGTAATGACTTACGAAGATGGAGAGTTTCTCCATTTAAACAATGGAAATACTGGATCCAGTCCAATCAAGATGGATGCAGGCATAATTTCAGACTGGACCTTTTTGTCAAAAATAATTGGCCTAAGTTTAAACAAAGCAGTGAAGTTTTGCCTGCCTAATTTATTAGTATGACAAGTGGCCGTGCTTGTTTTTTTTTTTCTTGGTGACTGGTAGTTTACAAGGTGAATTGTATGTTAGAAGGTATTAGAGAGAAATTTCCAAAGGTACATTTTCTTCTGGAAACCAGAGCATTGTCAGAAGAGCCAAGTCTGCCAGACGTGGCTGTGGTACCACCACTATAAATCAAAAGTGTTTTGTACTGATTAGCTTTTGTGTTGCATGCTAGTATTGTATGTTTCTTACTACCATTTAAAACAAAAGTTTAGGAAACCTTTACCTCACCCTTCCTCCCCCCACCCCATTCATCGTTTTCAGGTTCAGATTTAGAACTACTAAGCTGATTTGGAAAACATGAAGCTAAATATACCATGGACAACAGTATGTGCTGATTCAGGGCTCTGATTCTGCAAACTATATGCATGCTCTTCACTTTAAGTGTGTAGGGCTAACTGTTTACAGGATCAGGCTTTTAAGACAGCACATTCCTTTGGATATTAGTGAAGTTGTAATACATGGCATTTCTCCTTTGGTGGCTTAAAAATAAAAGCTGAACCTAGACCTAGCTAACTTTACTACACCTCATCAGTGGGAAACAGTGCATTTCTTTGGTTTGTATCACCCTGACTACAGTATAGTACAGAACTTTTTACCTGCTACCAGGTGATGTCAGTCTGGCCATGGTTCTGTGATAACATTACTGTAGTATAAACACAACTAATATTATCATTGGCGATTTAAAGACTATCTGGGATCTCTTTCTCCATTCTGTTGGTTTATTGTACTGTATTAATCTGACAAGCATGCACCTTATTTGTTCTTAAATTTAAATGCCTGGATCTCTAAAGAGTTTTGCCTTCTGTTATGGTCGAGCACATGTCAGTATATGTTTATATGTCTATACCGAAGGTTAGCATAATCAAATATATATATGCCTTTGCAGTACCTAAAATATAGGATGAGGGTTTAGGTTTGGGATTTCTATGGCAAGTCTTTTTGCAGAATTGAGATTTAAAACATACAGGCCGCCAAAAATGCAGACAGTTTTAGTGCATTGACATTACCAAATGCAAAAATGCTCTATAACTTATCAGTCAGTGCTTTTAGAAGGGAAAACAAAATATATGGGTGCAGTTTTATCAAAGTGGAACAAACAAAATCATGCTCAATGCGTCCTCTGAGTTCTCTCTCACCAGTTCTGGTTTATCAAAAAGCATTTGGAACTACAAAACAAAGGACTTTGGAGGCGCTCCAGAGTTACTAGTTTACATGGGAGCTTTCCAAGGTGATGGTGATTTCAAGCATAGTCTGGTTTGAATTCAAATCCCCAAAACTACTCAGCTGAAAATCTGGCTTAAGAGAATTTGTTATTACTACTTTTCCGTTTTCTGGTCTTATCAGTGTTGAAAAATATTCTCAGTTACACACTGTTTCTGATGTGTAACTTAGGTGTATAAAAAGTCTTAGGCTGACTTCCAGTCATTGATTCTCAAATCTAAACTAGTTAGCATGGTGTTATTTAAAATGCCTTCCCAATCAAATCACCACTCTATATTTACATGTTTATGTATAGTATTGTTGCTGATACAGAATATATTTCCCCTAACAAATTTAGGATGTACAAAAAGTAGTTATTTGCATGAGGCCTTCATATACTACTTTCCACTGATTTTTCTGAACCGCTTAGAATATATTCTCATTATACAAGTTCCATTGCAGCTTGCAAACCAGTTCCCATGTTTTTGTGGTGAAAGACAATAGGAAAGGAATGAAAACTTGCAAAGATTACATATCGTTTAGGCAACAGCAACAACATAAAATGTCATAATAAGCCAATTTTTCAATTATTCAATGTCTCCTGTAACTTAGAGAGTTCAGAAGTAGGCATCTAAGGTTTTTGGTAGAAGTAACTTCAAAACTGAACATCCCAAAACCGAGAAGTTAGAATTGTTTGTCTGTAGTCCACACTGAGGGTTTTGCTGTTCAAAATTTTTGATCTCCCTTCTTAAATAGAAAAGTTAAACATTTGACACACCTTTTGTTATCCCTCAAAAATGTAATCACACAAAATGAATGAGAATATCTAAAAATCTTTCTTTCTAGAAGTTTCTACTACATGTACTTTTGCTCACAAAGCAGCATTGTTTTTGTTAAAGTTCTAATGACCTTTTCCTTCCTAAACCCAGCCACAGAAAAGGGACTATTTGAAGCCGTATTTTAAACAGTGTTTCTTTTCTGAAGGTGTAAGAAACTAAGATGAGAAGGATGCATATTCAGCAATATGCATCTTGTTGCATCTTGAAATACTATCTGAAATGTACAGGATGAATAAAGAAAACGTATGTAGTCCTTGAACACTAGACTGCACGGGCTGATATTAAACATGGTAGCTTATCTGATTCGTTGTACATCCTATGAAAACTTTGATGCAAACTCAGTTGCTTGTGTAATTAAACTAAATTTTTCTTTAGAGAGTTTAATATTCTTCTATAATGATTCACTATGGTGCAATCACATTTTAAATAGTAGTTTCTCAGAATGATTATATTAGAATAAATGATGGGTTTGTTTAGTGAAGCATATATACTAAAATATAGGTATGAGGAGGCATGTGGCATAACACGTTTGCATACGGCACAGTAGTAATAGGATATTTTGCTGTGTTTGAAACTTAAAAATAGAACAGTTGGTGTTATCCACCAGTCTCCTTATCACTTTGTTCAGTCCACTTAGTATTAACATTGTAAGAAAAACAAAGTTGTTAGCTGCTGAAACTGTTATGACCCTCTGGAAGAAAAGCATTTGCCTAAAAACACTGTGATCTAGTTGTCATTCTGTGAAATGGTACAGGATACTTATTCTGAGGACAGGAAATGACTTCCTACACATTGCTATAAGAATAGTCCTGTTCAGATTTTAGGTAATACACCCTACTGTAGCAAAGGCACTTGTCAATTTTGTTTCAGGTTTTTTTTTCCTCTCTGTTTGCTGACCAAAAACTGTGCTCGATTGTAATACGGGTGTATGCTCTATAAAAAAAAAATAATCAAAAAATGAGTAGTTAACCGGTTTGTAGAGCAGATCAAACTGATTTGTAGAGTAGATTCATGTATATTAAAAATTCAGGTTGGGCGGTTCTGTCAAGAAGAAAGAACTTCAAGGTAACAACGTTTAATCTTACAACATCTAGTAAATTGAAAATGTTGATTTTATATATATATATATA